TCTCATCAAGCGATTTGGTCAATCATCAGGCAAACTTCTAATTCGTGCATCAGGGGGGAAAAGAAACACACAGACACCATGAGAGTTCGACTTCCAGGGAAACATCTGGGAAACCATGGGAATCGGGGGGGGGGAAGAGGGACGGTGTTTTTTTATGTATTGTTTTGCCAATCGTGCCAGCCCTCGCACCCCCCCATGGAGTAGATCTTGGCTGTTTTGTTGCGCCTGTTTCGAGCATGCGGAACCCCTCCCCCAAAAGCTGCACTGCTGCAAACAGTCGCACGAAACAGAGGTCCGGAGCCAGACTCCCCCCCTCCCCCCCCCGCCTTCCGCCCACAGTCGAAAAACGCCGAACGAAAGAGCGGTCACAGCACGAGCAGTAGGGCGTGAGGAGGAGGAGGGGAGGAGGAGGAGGAGGAGGAGGAGGAGGAGGAGGAGGAGGAGGAGGAGCAGGAGCAGGAGCAGGAGGAGGAGGAGCAGGAGGAGGAGGAACAGGAGGAGGAGGAGGAGGAGGATAGGAGGAGGAGGAGCAGGGAGGAGGAGGAGGACGAGGGACGCCGAAGCATGCAGACCTCGTGGGAGCCCCCGGGGGCTCTGTGTGCCCTCGTCCGCCCCCGGGGGCCTTTCCCCCCGGGCGGTGCCCGGGGCGCGGGCCCGCGCCCGCGCCGCCCGCTCGGCCCCATCCGGGCGGGCCCGCGCCCCTCCGAGGGCGCGGCGCGGGCGGCCGAGGCCGAGGGACGTCCTCGGCGCGGGTGGTCGCTGGCTGATTTTCAGGTCGGGCCTGTCCTTCTAGGCCTCCTCCTCCTCCTCCTCCTCCTCCTCCTCCTCCTCCCTCTTCCTCCCTCCTCCTCCTCCATCCTCCTCCTCCTCCTCCTCCTCCTCCTCCTCCTCCTCCTCCTCCTCCTCCTCCTCCTCCTCCTCCTCCCCCTTCTCCGCCACAGTGGAAGCCCATGCCAAGAAACTCTAGGCCTCCCAGATGGGTCGGAGTAGATGGGGTCGGAGGATCGCGCCGCATCGCCGATGCATCGCCGATGCGGCTCGATGTGGAGCCCGATTTGCTTCACGCCGACGGCGCCGATGCATCGTCCACGTCGAGGAAGGGGGGCAACTCGGCAAGCGGGGCCCAGGCCACGCCGCTTGGTATGGGGATCGGTTAAACGATATTCAAGCATGGAGTAGATCAGAGCCCCGACTCATCAGGGGTAACTCGGGTCAGGGCTAGCTCGGGTTCGTTTCTCGGCAATCCGAGCCCGAGTTGCCTCCGTGCCCGAGTTAACCCCGGATAATTCGGGCGTCCAGAGCCCCGAGTCATCAGGGGTAACTCGGGTCGAGAATCCAAACCCGAGTTACCCCTGGCCCGAGTTACCCCGAATAACTCAGGCGCCCACGTGGATCTTGGCTGTTTGGGGCGCCTTTTTCCAGCAGGTGGGGTTTCCCCCATGATGGACGCCCTGCTGCAAGCAGTCGCACTGAGCAGAGGCCTGGAGCCAGACCCCCCCCTCCCCCCCTTCCGCCCAATGTCGAAACGCCGAATAAAAGAACGCTCACCTGGGCGGCGGAGAAGGGGCGGTCGGCGATAACTTGCGTGCCGCAGGGGCTCAAGTAGTAAAAGGCTCGAACCTGCGCGTGCAATCCTCCCTCTGCGAGACCACCTCCGACTCGAGCCTCTAGACCTCCCGGAGCTCAAGCCCTCGCGAGCTCCGCCATGGCGGGGCGCTGCCGAATTTGCGCGGCCCGTGGAGTGGACGGCCCCGCCTTGCCGGGCGGGGACGTTTGCGCGGCCCACCAGCAGTTCGGCTTGGTCGGGCGCGGCGCGGCGGCGGCAGCCCCAGCCGACGCAGCGGAGAACTCGAGCATGGGCGACGCGGAGTCGGGGCTCAGCCAGGCCACTGCCGCCTTGCAGTTGGCTGGAGCTCCCGCTCCGCCCGGGCTGGCGCCGCCTGCAGCTGCCGGAGCGCCAGGCGTGGCGCGGGCGGCCGCAGAACCGGGTCCGCTGGCGGCCGCGACAGCGCCGGTATCCGCCTCGGAGCTGGACCCGTTGCACGCCTTCCTCGAGGACGAGCTCTCGGCCAACTCGGTGGTGACAGCGGCGGCGGCCTGCACTGGTCATCAACCTCCACCGCCAGCAGACGGTGAACGAGTCCCCACCTCTTGGACGGAGCTGTCGGCCGTGCTCCGGCGGCTGGCCTTTCGGTGTGACGCTCATGATCCTTGGCAGGCATTGGGCCTATTCACCTTGGAGGGTCCCGCCCCGTCGGTGATGGACCTCGACCGCCGTCTGCATCGCGCCCGCACGCTGCTGGGCGTCACGGGCAAGGCCGGCTGGACGGAAGAGGACGCCGACGCCGCGCTCCAGGCGGAATCACACTTGGTCTGGGCGCATTCGCAGTGCGTTCTTCAGTTACCCGCGGTCCTTGCTCGGCGGAGGAAGGACAACGGCGTGCCCCACGACCGTTGGAAGGAGCTGGGCGTCCCGGGCCTGGAGTTGATCATCAACACCCCGGCGTCCCTCCATGAGACGGTTGCGACGCAGATTTCGGACGTAGTCGACCTGACACCTGCTCTACACCAACACGGCCGGTTGCTCGACCCTGCCTCCGCTAAGGTATGGCAGGAGCGACTCGCGGCCAGTGATTTTGATGCGAATCAGCTGCTGCAGTGGTTGCCTCAGGCTGGTCTGGTTGCGTGGGCGCCCTCCTCGACCTCGGCGCTGGGGCGGCTCCGGGCTGCTCTCCTGAAGATTCCCGCGGCCATCTTCGAGGGCCGCCCCATCCGCCTGCTCGTGCCAATGGCGGTGCTCCCAGGCTGCTCTACCACGACTGCTCTCCGAGACTTCTTCTGGCACCCGTTTTTGGGAGAGAAGTGGGCGCCTCTCATTCGAGAGCAAGGCTTTGTTGCCCAGGCCCTCCAGATGCTTGACACGGGCTCCGGCGGCCCGCAACACGTCTCCAAGGGCCTCCTCATCGCCGCCGTGTCGGCGCCCTTCCCGCACCAGCCGCCGAAGATGCTGTCGGTGGCGGCGCCGTGGGCGGAGGTCCGGGTGGGCCAGGTCCTCCTGCATGGATTGCCCCACCTCGCACCTCGCCATGTTTTTTTTTCGGGGGAGCGTAAGACCCGGATTTGCCAGGACTCGGGTTCGCCATCGTTTTTTGACGACCGCGCTTCGGATTTTGACGAGGAGGAGTTTCGTGGGATGTCTGCAGCGGGAGACCTCGTCAACATGCAGGCTCGGCCTAGTCATTTTTTGATGACCTCGTCGGGGATTTCCGGGTCCCCTCTACCCAGGTGTTTCGTCCCCCTGGTTTTCGAACGACTTCTGGCATTGTGCGAGGCGTCGCAGCTTCGGGTGGGTCGTGGCGGCCGCAGCCCGCGTTCGTCGGAGGCCGCCCCGCGCACCCGCACAGAGCTCCATGTGCCACCAGATGTCACGGAGCTCATCGTCCAGATGTTGTTAGTGGGCCTTCGGGGGCAGAGTTGGCCCGCTCCGATGTTCTTCGCTTCTGGGTCAATCTTCTCGGACTCCATGGCCCCGCTGCGGCCCGCTCTTGGAGCTCGCGGACCCGTCCGCCCTCGGCAAGGTACGCAGTCTGTGCAGGGAGTGCCTCTTCCTGTCCGCGACGAAGGCGACGATTCGCATTGATCTCGGTCCCGACGATTGGCAAAGGCTGCTGGAGGACAATTGGGCCATGGATCCGGAGGCAGCGGTGACCATGCTTCGCTGGCGCCCCACTCGCATGGGCGGCCGTTCCATCGCTGCTCCAGCAGCGGCCAAGGAGCGCCTCCGCGAAGCAGAGCAGCCGGCTGCGGCCCGCCTTGAAAATCAAGGCGGTGGCCCTTGCTTTCCGGACCTCACGGCAACGGGCCCCCTCGGCTACGACCCGCAGAAGGCCGTTGGAGCCATCATGGCGGTGGTGCTTCAGAAGACGGGGGTCGACATGAAGCACGCGGACTCATCGATGCAGGTCCGCCTGGGCACGTGGCGGCGCGCGGCCGTTGATGACCCGACCGCGGACCCCGGCAGGGTTCGCCTCTATTTCCGCACGGCGGCTGAGGCCAATGCAGTCCGGGCAGCCATTCAGGGCCGCGCCATATACAAGTGCGGGGGATGACGCGGCGGCCCTCCAGGGCGTGACCGTCGCCAGCACGGCCAGGTCGTCCAACCGTCGGGGGGGGGCCGCTCTGCTGCGGCGGGCCCCCCCCCGATGATGATGCGGTAGCTCGGGGGGCCGGTCGCCCACCTCCACCGGCGCCCAGTTCGACAGCGGAGGCGAATGCATGCTTGATTGAATCCATCGGTTCGGACGGCACCTCCGGGTACCTGAGGGACCTCGTCATGTCTAGTCGTCGCACCTCTCCTTCGCCTTTTCGCACGTTTTTTGTTCGCGACGTTCCTTTGCAGCTTCAGGCACCGACGCCTTCGATGCCGCTTCTGCATCTCCGTCCTCTGTGTGCTCAGCATCCGTAAGTTGCCGTTCAGCAGTGGGGCAGCCTGCCGTCGCTCCCGCCAGCAGCTAGCGCCCCGCAGGTGCCCCGCCCTCGCCGGCGCCCTCCCCCGCCTCGGGCGCCCGCCCTGGACCTCCGCCATCCGCCCCCATGGCAGCCGCGCCCGATCCGCCCGACACGCGGTCCCCCTTCCCGGGCGACGCGCAGGGGGCCAGCTGGAATTCGCAGGCACTTTTCGCCAGGAAGCGGCGCCGACACGCGCAGAAAGATTCCGATGTCCGTCGTTTGCTACGGAGCCGGGACTTCGTTGCCATCGCGGATTCCCATGGCCTGGAGGGCGAGACGGCGGCGTGGAGCTGCCTTGCAGATTGCACCTCGTGCTTCTCCCCTTGCAAATCAACCCGAGCGGGCGTGGGGCTGATCGCCAAGAAAACCTTCCTGGATCTGTTCGAGGCCGCGGAGCCGCGGTGAATCCGCGCCCGCCATCACCGATACTGTTCGCAGTTGCCGTGGATGTACTACTACGACGTCTCCGCCGCTTGCTGCCATCGCTGGAGGCCCGGGCCTTCGCGGATGACATCCTCGCGGCAACGCCTTCTCTCTTCGAGTCCGCGCCGATCCTGGGCCCCGAACGGGGCCACGAGGCCTGCGACAAAGCCTTGGCGAAGGTCCTCGATCGCGCCATCTGGCGGGGCGCTGCCAGCGGGGGCTTATTTTTGACGACGCTCGCCTACACCGTGTGCCGCTCTTCCGTGGTGGGCTTCCTGATGCACTCGGATGCTTTGCCCCCGCGCTGGGCGTCCGTCGAGGCAGAAGCTTTCCAGCTTCTTGTGCCGGGCTCCAGTCAGTGGGTGTGCCTCGACGACCTCCGCCAAGTGCGCGCGCTGGGATTCCCGCGCGGCTTCGACGATCTTCATGTCCGTTGCCGGGCGGCGCAGCTTCGCGTGGCCACCATGGAGAACAGCGCAGCCGGAGGTCTGCGCGTGGCCCCACGCGCCGATGCTCTCCGACGCGCCCGCCGCGACACGGACAACCTGATGATCATTGCAGCGTGGGCGGGGTGGTTCGATAGGTCATTATTATTACAACTGGGTTCGATAGATCCCACAGTACCCGCGAGTCCGCGTGGCAAGATGCATGCGTATTCTGGCAGCCTTTGGGCAACAGGCCCCACCGCGGGCATGGGCAGCCACGTGGCGGGCTCTCTGGAATGGGTGCACGGCCCACGGCCCGCCGGACCCAGGCCGCTTTGGCTTGCCAGGGTGCATGTTCGGCTGCTCGCCCATCGCAGAGGACAGCATCGAGCACTACGCCAACTGCCAGATCGGCCGTTCGATCATCGCGAGGGAGCTCGGCCTACAACGACCCGACCGCCCTGCAGACCGGCTGGCAAGTTTCTTGGGCTTTGATCTCGGGCCGAGATCGGATGAGTCGGCCGTCGTGCTACGCGGCATCAGGTTGGCGGCCATGCACCGCGTGCACTGCCACTGCCGGCGCGGTGCGTTGAGGAGAGGGCACTCCGCGAGGGAGGCGCTGCCGCAGGCCTGCCGCGAGGTTGTCAGGGGCCACCGGCGCGCGGGCACCGTGTGCGACGAGGCGCAGGCGCGGTGGCGGCGAGATGAGTCCCTGAGGCCTCGCCTGGCGTTCCCGGTTCCCTCTTTGCCTCTCTCTTCTTCGTCATCCTCCTTCTCCTCCTCCCCGTGGCACGCGAGTCAGTTGAGGCCGGCAGGCCTGGAGCTGTCCCGGCCGCGTGGCCGATGGATCGTGAGAGGGCTTCTGCTCTGGACTCGGCCGGAGTCGAAATTGTGCAGGAGTTCTTCTCGCCCTCCGATGGTGGACGCGGGCGTGTCGCCCAATGTGGGGGATGCCAGCCCGTCGATGTATTCTGGGGTCGAAGACGCTCGCAACTAGCAGTTTTACGCGGCCCTGTGGCCCGAAACGGTCCCTCCTGCTGTCGTCTCCTTCGTTCGTCGTCGTCGTCTCGTCGTCGTCGTCGTCGTCGTTGTTGTCGTTGTCGTCGTCGTCTTCGTCGTCGTCGTCCGTCGTGTCCTCGTCTCTTCCGCTCCTCTCGCCCTTCCCACTCCTTTTTGTTGGCCGTCGGCCTCTCCCCCCCCCTCGGGGTCTGCACCTCGCTGCTGGCTGGTGAACGGGGCGCTCCCGCGTGTCCGCTTGCGGACGCCTGTGGGTGCGGTCGTCGCCTCCTGCGGCTCAGTGCCGCCCCCGCTTCTCCTGGGTCTCGCCCGTCGTTGCTGCTTGCTGTTGGACCGTGCTGTCCCCAGGCCCAGCGCCATCGCCAAGATTTCTCGGCCACGGTCGCAGGACAAAGGTCGGGTGCCTTTATGGGGCGGCGTCGCGGTGTAACTGCGGGAGCCGCCCCGCCTGGCCTGCTGGGCCGCCGCGACGGACCCTTGCTACGCAGGATGTCTGGCACGTCTCTGTCCACCCTCCCGCTATCCTTCATTCAGGTTTGCACGTCGTGAAGTGGGGCAATCTGGCCCTGCAGCCCTGTCTCTGTTTTCTCCCAGTGCCACCGTGCTAATCTTGGCTGGAGGACACGTCTTCTTTCGTGACGCTTGGCGAGGGCGTTCTTCCTCCGCTCCCTTCCCTCCCCCTCGGCCTCCTCTTGCCCGCCCCCCCTACCTCCAATTAGTGGTTAGTGTACTACTTTCTGCACAGACAGGGCATGCAAGAGGTACTGCAGCCGCTGCTGGCCGACTCGAGTCTGTCTGATTGGCCCGGGCTCGCATTCCAGCCGCCGCGGCACGGCTCCGCGCCTGGCCGGGCACCGCAGTGCCCAACCTCATAGTGCATACCACCAGTTGGCGAGTGCATGCGCCCAACGTTTCACTTCTTGCGCTGTCTCTTCCTCCTTCCTCCCCCTCCCCGCCTCCCCCTCTTAGTTGGCAGGATTCCGGGGGTGTTTTCTATCAGCGTCGCCGCCGCATGGGCTTCAATTTCTGGCGAACGTGGTTTTCTTGTGCCGCTGTGTGAGGCCTCATTATATGAGTGGTCGATGGCACCAACTGGGGATCGATGCACACACAGCGCCACCATTCGTCTTATTGGAATAAGACGTTGGTAATTTCCTCTTCGAGCATGTGTGCGTGCATGTTGCACCGGCTCCGTGACACATTTTTGTTCCTCACTGTGCGAGTCCAGGCTTTTTGTAGCCGGCCTTGCAGGCTGTGCGAGGCTGCGTGTCATTGGCAGCCGGACTAGAGTGATGCGTTGCTTGGCGAGTTGTCTGAACTTCCCTCTTCCCCCCTCTGTAAAATATTGCGCTGGATAATTTAAAAATATATAAAAGGACCCCCCGCCCTTGACTTTCAGTCGGGCATGTCCTTCCACAGGAGGGAAGTTCAAGAGCAGTCAAAACATAGTCTGGGGACGATCTTTCTACTACGTCTGCCTACTTTTTGATATTTGGTAACTTTTTTAAATGTAATGGTCTCCGGCCAGTGCCGCCGATTTGGGTTTTTTTTTGAGTTGACGTGCCTTGTTTGGGAGGGAGGGCGCCCTTGGAGTCGTCGGGGACGCTTTGTGGAGCTGACGTGTGACGTGCCCTCTGGGGGGGGCCTGGAGCGGTCCCAGGGGGGGTCCGCGGAGGGTTCCACGGGGAGGGTCCTGAGGCGGTAGCGGCTAGATCTGAAGGGGGTCCTTGGGACTCTCTGAAACATCTTGGGGATGCGCAAATCATTTGGGAAACGCCAGATGGGGGACCGCCCGCCCCCCCCCCCCCCCTTCCCCTTCCCCGGGGGGGGGGGGTCTGGGGAGGGCTCCGAGGGGAGAGTCCTGGGGGCGGTGGCGGCTAGATCTGAGGGGGGTCCTTGGGACCCCCCGAAACAGGAGGAGGAGGAGGAGGAGGAGGAGGAGGAGGAGGAGGAGGGAGGAGGGAGGAGGAGGGAGGAGGAGGAGGAGGAGGAGGAGAGGAGGAGGGGAGGAGGAGGAGGAGGAGGAGGAGGAGGAGGAGGAGGAGGAGGAGGAGGAGGATAAATCGTTAAGAAAACGCCAGATGGGGGACCGCCCGACCCCTCCCCCCTCCCACCTTCCCCCGGCAGAGCCACCCCGGCGACCCCCCCCCCAAGCAGAGCTGCACCTGCTGCTGTCCAAAATCCGCCCGTAGGAGGACATGTGCGCGACTGTTACCTTGACCCCTGAGGGTTGCGCATCCTGGCCCAGGACAGCGCTGGTCGACGGAGGGGCGGCGGAGCCGATGGTCGTCATCGCCGGGGAAAGTGTGAGTCGAATCGAGGTCGAACACCTCGGCGCTGCCAGCTGCGAAGAGGCGGTCGGCGACCACTTGCGTGCCCCGAATGTTAAATCAAGCAGTGGCGAAACGTCCCGGCGTGCCTATAGGCCGACCGCAGAATGTGCTAAGAACCTTTTGTGGTTTCAACGAAATGTTCTTCGAACATTTCTGGCTGGGCGCGTCTTGCTTTAACACATCGGGTTTATGTTCTAAGAACATTGCTTTTGTTATTAGAACAATTTTGGGTTCTACGGACATGTCGTGGTAGGCTTATAGGGATGCCAGGACGGTCGGTCCCTGCTCAACTAAAGGACCACCCTCTTAACCCCCGTGAGTTGACTATCCTCCAGGGCGGCCACTTACCGAAGATCACACTTACCCAGGATCACCCTTGCGTGCAGCCGGAGAAGGCTAGGAAATCTCCGGCCTTCGGAGAAGTCTTCGAAGCCTTCCCCGAAGACACAACAAAACACTTCGAAGGAGGCGCGAGGGCTTCTAAGAAGCCCCGCCACCTTCTGAGAAGGTCTCCCCCTTCCCACTTCCCCCCTCGCTCGCCGCCGACGAACAGGCGTTTGAGGTTGATCGGGCGTTGGCGGTTGATCGGGCGTTGGCGGTTGATCCGGCGTTGGCAGTTGATCGGGCGTTGGAGTTTGTTCGGGTGTTGGAGATTGATCGGGCGTTGTTGGTTGATTGGCGAGGTGCGAATCGGCCGACATCGAACGATCTTTGAAGAACCGATATCGTCTTAAACATCAGCTGTCGGAGGTCCGCGCGGATTCTTTGGGTCGGCACTGGACCCCTCCCGCCAGGACGGGCTCCAGCTCCGATCCGAGAACTCCGTGTGGACCTATGAAATTTCATCGATGTGATTCTACGTATGTAACCTTCGCGCAACCCACCAGCCCATGCAGCAACGATGCCCAGACGAGTTGCTCCTGATCAGGGATGTGGAGTGGAATGCAGCGCAAAAAAGGGTTGGTCAAGGCGTCGCACCCCAAGAGGGGGAGGATGGAGGAGGAATCGGAGGCGGAGGAGGAGGAGGGAGGGAGCAGAGAGGCCAGAGGCCTCTTGGATCGCTCTCTTAGTTTCTTCGGAGTTCTTTCGATAGTTACTTGGAGTCATGTTGGGGCGCCTTTGGGGACACCTCGCAGTCCCCGAGACCTCTTGGAGCATCTTGGGGGTCAGTTGGGAGCCTCTGGGGGGCAGTTGGGGGGGCCTCTTGGGGCTTCCTGGGCACCTCTTGGGGCCGTCTTGCTGCATTGGGGGCAATATTGGGGCCATGTTGGGTGCCAAAATAAAGCCACAGTTGTCGAGTAAAGTCGAGTAGTTTAGCATTCTCGCCGAGGCCTCTTGGGGCGTCTTGGGTGCCTCTGGGGGGGCCTCTTGGGGGCCTCGTGGGGCCTCCTGGGCACCTCTTGGGGCCCTCTTGGGGCACCCTTGGGAGCCTCGGGGGCCAACTTGGGGCCATCTTGGGAGAGGTCGATCAAAGGAGGGGGGCTTCTTAATCAGGGCCTCGCCAAAAGAGGTTAACATGTGACCAAAACTTGTTCGTGAACTCAATGGCTCTGGTATTCTCGCCGAAGCCTCATGAAGCGTCTTGGGGGCCTCCTGGATGCCTCTTGGGGGTCTCTGGGGAGCCTCTTCGGGGTCTCTTGGAGCCTCTTGGGGCATCCTTGGGAGCATCGGGGGCCATCTTGGGACCATCTTGGAGGAGATCGATCAAAGGCGGGGAGCTCCTCAATTAGGGTCTCCCCCAGGAGGCCAAATCTGGCCAGCACCTGAGTATAATACATGATGTTGGCGTCCTCGCCGAGGCTGTTTCGGACGCTCTGACAACTCCCCCCTCCAGGTCCAAGGGGAGGGGGTAGGGCAAGCTAGGTGGGCTCGCGTCATATCTGACGTTCCAGTCCTCCCTCCCATCCCTTACCACGGCTTAGATATCCTCTCTATTTGCACAGTCGGATGTCGAGCAGGGTAATGATCGCGAGAGGGTACGCGATGCATGGTAGAGCACGGCATGGCATGGCGTAGAAGAGCACGGGAGAGCTCAGCATGCCATAGCATGGCGTGGCATTGCGCAGTGAAGTATTGCATCACAAAGCATTGCAACGCAAAGCATGGCGTCGCAAAGCGGCGCAGAACACAGCACCGCACAGCATGTCATGACATGACGCCGGGTTCCTTGGAGGGTAAGTGGACTGTCTTCGAGAGGTCTGGGCCTGTTTGGAGTCGTGGCTCCACGTCTAGCTCCTTGGGCTCCCCGAAAAGCTCTACACAAAGCGGGGCTGATGGCTGGCTCTGCTTCCAACATCGCCTTCTAAGAGCAGAAACGGGGCTCCCGCTTGACATTTCCTGGACACGACGGCGCCCACAAGTGGGGGG